CAAAGCAAAATAGCTCATGAACAGGAGATGCTTGGAAAACAGCAGGTGTACTCAACATATTTCATAAACAGTCAAAGCTCACAGTCAGTAGACAGGTGAAAGTAGGCAACAACAGGATGGATCATGTGGGAGAGAAATGGGGTTTCTTATCTGCTTGTGTGATATTAGTCTCACTGGGGGTCAATATGTGTCATTTGACATAAATTTTTTGGTTCTCTGGAAACTAAGTCAGCATTGGAGCCAGAAAACTAAACTCCATGGCTATTATTGTTGATTTGTGTACATTATAACCAAAAGTGTCTAAAACTAGAAAGCTATAGTTACAATATCAGATATATTTTGATCCCCAAATCCTAAATCTTTCCCTTTTGAATATGTCATCTGTGATACCTGAGGGACAGAAGTAGTGACACCAGATATGGTAGCACATGCCAGTAATCATAACACTTGACAGGGAAGAGGCAGGAACCTCATGAATCTGAGGACAAATTGAATAAACTTGTAAAAATCCTAAACCAAGAGCTAAAGATGTAGTTCAGTGCTAATGCACTGACCCACTGTGTACAAGATTGTGGGCCATGGCAGCCCTAACAAGCTATGTTAAGCCACCATTCCTGAGAACTCCAACTAAAGAGACAAATATCAGTGGGGAACAACAGTGACAACAATGTGACCACATTGGGAAGAAGAAAACATAAACAGATCTACAGATCCCTCTAAATTTCCTTGGAATATTGTGATGGTAGGGCTTAAGTTTAAATAAAAATCAAGAGAGGTCTTCACAACTAAGCAGTGCTGGTCAAATGGGACCTTGCCCATCAGTGTCCTGTTCCTCTTCTTTGAAATAATGTGATCTGATAGCTGGGTCAGAGCATTGTGAAACCTCTTCTTGGAAGACAAGCTCATCCTCTGGCTAACATCAGGCTTCAACCTTTTCCCTCCCCCAACATGAAATTCTTAGGGAAATTCCAGTTCCTCTGAGATTTTAAAAAATAGTTTCTTAACCAAATGGAGTGGAGCAAGTTCCTTCCTTTGGGACAGCTTTACCCCCACCATTATTGGTCTAGAAGTTATCAATTCAGCATATGTAAACACCTAAGATGTTCAATGGATGTGAGTTCTCATAAAACTAAGAATAGGTGATATATCAAATCATCCCTAATCTAACTACAGTAGTTTTAGTGATAAGAATTTTGAAAGAAAAAAAACATTGCTTTTGAGTCTTTGGATTCTCTGCCCCACAGTGATTCTGGGAATATCTAGGTAAAGACATGTCTGACTAGGTTTCTGTCCCAGCCTGGTCCCTCACCCTATTAGTCCCAAATAAACACACTATAAACTGTTTGGCCAGTGTCTCCATGTGTTTTGGTTTACCAGAGAATGCGTGGTGTCCTATCTTTCTGGTAGCTACATGGTGTCTGCCTTGAGGCTTCTCTCTACATTCTCTCCCCAGAATTCTCCTTGTCTGGTAGCCCCGCCTGTACTTCCTGCCTGGCTTCTAATCAATCAGTGATTTATTAAACCAATAAGAGGAGCATATTCATACCAAACAGAAGAATCTCTCCCATAATCTCCTCTTTTCTGTCTAAATAAAAAGGAAGGTTTTAACTTTAACATAGTAAAATTATATATATCAAAACAGCTATCAAGCAAGAACTATAGTTAACAATATTTAGTCTACTAATATTGCCAAAATTTAAAGAAAATATTCTGTAATCTACCCATCTTTGTGAGGCTAAAGCTTTATATGTAACATCTTTTATTATAACTAAGGAAAACCATAACCATAACTATCTGTCTTCAACTCCATAAAAGACTACAGAAGGATTATAGATTTGACAAGACATTTCACTTCCCAGACAATCACCCCAAAGTTCCTCTGTAACATTGGGGTATCTGTTTTCAGTCCATAGGCCATATTGTGTCTGTAAGACTTCTCAGTTAAACAGGAAATTTGAAACTGTCCTGCCTGTATTGACAGTTTGTCAGTCATTTTTCTGTGTCCTGCAGAATGTCTGGCAGACTTCCATGAAGCAGGAACACAGAAGGACTGACCCATCTTGTTTTGAAAAGTTCAACAGTCACTTTCTTGTGGGTTCTGCATGTCCAGTTTATACAACATACAGTAAAACATGTTCCTGTCATGTTGAAGGCAAGGTCCATAACAAGTTTCTTCAATGCCCATCATTCTCTCTGATGTAATTGGTGATGCCAAGAGCAGTTGTGTCTCATTGTCATGAAAAACTATTATAAGCCATTTTAAATACCATATTCTATAGGTCTTTAAAGGTTTTGAAGACTACCTATTCATTTGAAATGCATCTCTGTGTATCTAAAAAACCTAACATAATGATAAATTTTGACTACTATGGGTTACTATCTATAATCTGTATTTTGTTATACATTACATTTTTTAAAGAGCTATATAAATACAATACCTAAACAAGAGTAGAAATATGCATATACCAAAATTGACCTTAAATTTGTATCAATAAACCAAAATCAATACCAATGCAAACTATTCATTTCTATATCATATTCTCTTTTTTAAAGAAAGAGATTGACTGTGATCATTAACCATTTATAACCAACCATGCTTAAATGAAAATATTTATAAACAAGATCTGGGAATTTGGGTGTAGTTGTCTCCAGACTGCTTCCTGCTCTTTGGGGAGCACTGTCCATTCCAAGGGGATCCTGAGAAAACCCAGAAACTTTGCCAAATCCTTGCTGTAGTAGTCTGAGGCTGCATCATCTCAGATGTTTTGAATGTTGGATCACCTGGGCAATTGCTTCAGGGGTCTTGCTTGATTAAACCATGTTGGTCTGGAAGGAATCCATAGCTTTTCGTCTTCTGTGGAAACATAGGAACTGGGTTCTTAGACTTAAATTTTGAAGCTGAGGCATTTTCAAAATACATAGGTTGGGGAAATCCAGAATCATTTATAATCAAATGTCTTTTAGTAGCTATTGCTCCATCATCAGCAATCAAAAATTCAAAGGTAACACAATAACATACTCTCTATGTATTTTCCATCTTTACGTGGCTTTTTCTTTTACTCTATTTCTTTTACTTTTATCTTTTGGTTTTTTGAGACAGAATTTCTCTGTGTATCTTTGACTGTCCTGGAACTCACTCTGCAAACCAGGCTGGCCTTGAAATCACAGAGATCTGCATACCTCTGCCTCCTGAATCCTGGGATTAAAGGTTTATGCCACCATACCCAGATACTCTATATTTCTTTTTTAAAGAACTTCATTCTTTTACATTCATCTCCCAAGCCTACAAATATTTTTAAACACACTGCAAACCCTTCAGAGGTTTTCTTCATCTGAATCAGTCTTTACTTGTATATCTCTATCATTTTTTGACCACTGAGTCTTTCATCTGCTAAACAGCATGGCTATAATTAAAAAGCAGCATCTGGCCTAAGCCCTATTCCTTGGCTTTCTGAGAGTGTAGCTTCATTGTGGAGTTCCTAGGTTCACGTCACCACCAAGGAGCATGTCTCCAGCTGCTCATATACACCCTTTAATTGTTTGTTGGCAGGGGCTCTTAAAAGAGCCATGCCGGGTTTTTTGCACTAACCCTGAGTTAGGAAGCCTTTCTTAAAGTTTGTGTTTTGTCTCTGTTTACCGCTAGCAAGCAGAGCTCACCTGAGAAATGCTGCTACCAAGAAGCCATGCTTGCCTCTGTTCTTCTGTTTTCAGACTTCCTTTTAAAGTTTTTGTCAGGTTTTACATGGAAATTCTTGCCACCACGTTGGGGGTACCAATTCTGTTACAACTTAAACTTCCCAAGTTTTATGACCAACAAGAAACATCACATTTTCAAACTAGCTAATGCGATATTTTCGTCCTTTCTGTATCTATTCTCTTTTGAAACTTTTTGGAAAATAATCTGAAGTGAATTTTGCCAAGTGATGTGGAAGGAGAGTGGGTTGGAGAAGCAGTGCCAGCTTCCAGCCTCACTTGGCTCCTCCTCCTCCTCCTCTTCATCATGCTGACAGTTTTCCCTGGAATCATTACAACAGTGCTTTTGTTCCATTAAGATAAGAGGCTATCTACATTTCCACCAGGAACCTCTGTCTCTCATTCTCTGTAACTCACCCATAAATATTCATTTCCAGTAACAGCTTCATACGTGTTATAATCTCACCCCCAAAATCCACGTTGGCAAAACTAAATGATTTGGGGAAATCATGAGGACTTCTGCTGCTAAAGCAATAAAAAGAAAAAAATCTAAAAATGTTATCTAAGTGTCTGTGGTTTGAACCAAAATACTTTGGAACCTACAAAACAGACTTATAGGTCTTTCTTAGTAATTGTGTCATTGGAGTGTGGTTTTATTATAATAAAATGTATTAAGCTATACAGACTCTTAATCAATGTATACCTTTTCACATCATTGTCTCTTAATGTAAGGCACCTAAATATATAATAGTGTTTTTCATCTAAAATTTCCATGGAAAATCAAATATATAATCATTATTTTTGTTATATATTTTGAGATGGAATTTTAAAGAAAACCATGAAATTATGTTTATTGTCTTTGAATAATGCAATTTTGAAATATATTTCAAAATATATTTAAAAGATTTATTAGTATTCTATACTTAAAATGGCTTCATAGCTTCTTGGTAGGGATTTTTGGTATTTATATATTCATATGTCTAGAAGGACAAATAGTGAAAAATTTAATGGTTTATCACACGAGGGCCCAAAATCACTTATTTGAGCAGATCTGCAAATTAAATACTGAAAATAAGGAGAACTACAGCAACGACGAAGCTGGAATATTTTATTTTAACCTCACCGTTTTAGCATTTGTTCCCACCATTTTATGCTGCTTGATTTAAATGCTCTGGTCATATTGCTGAACATACCTGTGTGTGAAATGATCATTGGAATCTAAACTATCTCATTTTTCTTTGCCTTATCAATCTACGCTTATCCGAAGCCTGTCCCAAAATACATTTTTCTTTCTTCTTTTCCCACAGCTGTTTTGTGACAGTGAAGAATTGATACACACCACAGAGGGTGTGGACTGGGAAGACAGAGATGTTCCAGGAGCGTTGGTTGGAAATGTGGTACACTCGCGGATTAACAGTCCTCTGCGTCTATTTGTTAAGCAGCCTCCAGGCCCAAAGCCCGCTTATACAGACAGCATGGAAAACTTTTGGGATTGGCTGGCCAACATCACAGAGATTCAAGAGCCACTGTCAAGAACTAAAAGACGGCCAATAGTGAAAACGGGAAAATTTAAGAAAATGTTTGGGTGGGGTGACTTCCATTCTAACATTAAAACTGTCAAGCTTAACCTGCTCATCACAGGGAAAATTGTCGATCATGGAAATGGGACGTTCAGTGTTTATTTCCGACACAATTCAACAGGCCTGGGCAATGTTTCAGTGAGCTTGGTACCTCCTTCTAAAATAGTGGAATTTGAAGTATCCCCCCAATCTACCTTGGAGACCAAGGAATCCAAATCTTTCAACTGCCGTATTGAGTATGAAAAAACAGATCGGGCAAAGAAGACTGCTCTATGCAATTTCGACCCATCCAAGATATGCTACCAGGAGCAGACTCAGAGCCATGTGTCCTGGTTATGTTCCAAACCCTTTAAGGTCATCTGCATTTACATTGCCTTTTACAGTGTTGATTATAAACTTGTGCAAAAGGTTTGTCCTGACTACAATTACCATAGTGAGACACCATACTTATCTTCTGGATAAATCTTCTCTCAGTAATAGAAATGAAATACTCATGTCAGTTTATCTAGAATGATCAAGAAACATGCCCAACTCTCCATGGCAAAAGGTCCCTTTTATTTCTGGCAGTGGACTACAATTCCTTGTCCAGTTCCCAACTAAAAAAAAATATATATATATATATATATATATATATATATATATATATTCAAATGTGGAGTGCATTTTCCTTGGTGATAAGTAACCTTTATCTAAAACATCAAACTGATTATGGAACCATCATACTTTCATGGGAGATGGTAACATTCTGTAAATGATGCTTCTCTGTAAGAAACATCGATAGTAGCTTTGTGTGAAGGAAACCAAAGGGTGCATGTGAGGAGCTCTGATCTCCAAATGAGCCTGCCTTTGCAATGCTTTGGAAGGTTTCTTTAGAAAGAGTAGCTCAGTAGAGTAACTCAAACTATGGTATTCAATAGATGGATTGTGTTTCTGGTGTTGAACCCTTTTTAAACCAGCTGTCTTCGTATTGATGCCTGTTTTAATGGCTGGAGTGTTACGGGAAAGGCAAACATATTACTATGTGAGCAGTTCTGATTAGAATGCGGTTGAAGCACTTTACCCTTATGACTTTCATTTGAGTGGTATTGTAACATGCATTAGGGTACTAGGTAGGCAAATGCGGGTCTAAGTCAGCTCAACAATAATGAAGATGATGATGTTTCCAAACACTTCCATGCTGAAAGATTGTTTTTTAAAACTTTATTCACATTAAAGTTCAGGACTTCATTGCCTTTGTTTGATAGTATGGTTTTATATACATTTGTGGAACAATTCTGAAACTGAAAGAAGTGTTTCTGGGCAGAAAATTCCAGTCATGTGCTCCTTATCTGTAGCTCATCAGATTAGGAATATTTGTGTGTGTGTGTGTGTGTGTGTGTGTGTGTGTGTGTGTGTTCACATAGTCACTAGACTGAAAATAAGGATTCTGTAAGGAAACAATGAGATACATTTGAGTATCTCTAAGTGTTAAATGCTGATACCTTCAATGCCCAGGTCACTGAGCTTTTGAAAATACTTCACTCTCTGTGTCCTCATCTTCTAAAAGTTGAGTGGCCATCTTTGTGATGCAACTTGACATTGTATGAGAACAGAAAAAAAGGTAAAAGGTTTCTAGGGCTCTAGACATGTGGTTACTCTCCCTGTAGTAGATGTTAACTTCTTTCTCACTTCTCATCTGTACAATATCAATCAAGTAAAATACTCGAAGAGGACTCATGGAAGGTAAGTCCTAACCAACAAATATGTTCTTAACACAGTGTTCAGAAAGCCAACAGTTCTATTCTCTATTTCACATCTCTATTCTGTTCTATTCCTGGTGGTATCTGCAGTGTCTTACTTTGTGTTTTGTACAAGTTGTGCTAGGGTAAATATGTGGTAGTCCATGCTTGAAGTTTCTTTTTGAGATCATTGGATGCTTTTGTAATTTTGTGGTTGGTGAATAATATTTTGAGACATATTTTATGTTCATCTAGAAACATGAGTAAAATGCTATCTATTGTAAAATATGTGAGTACATATATACTTAGGATTTTCTGTGTACAAATGAATTATGTGTGCATTTTTATGTAAATAAAAAAGTTGCTAGTTCTACACATGACTCCAGGTGTGTGTTTGTTTTTAAAGAGGTTTTTCATTGCTTTTTTTCTCACAATGTTTTACTCTTCCTGAATGTATGTAACATCAATTAAATATTAAGATCTTTCTTTTAAATATTTTAAGTAGGATGGGCTGGCTGGGAAGATTATAAACTAAATGGACTCATGTAAAGTAGATAGAACATAATCTGACATCAATTTAAAAAATCCCTGTAGGTGCAGCTGCTGCTCTCATTGTTTTATTCAAAACATAAAATTAGATTTTAAGTTATCTGATGTCCAACTACTAAGAGGTATAAACATTTCCATGGAAAGAAATAAATTGCAACTCAATTTATGCAATTCTTCGATTCAAGCAGGATTTATGATTTTTTTCAAGTTTCCCACAGGCATATTTTTAAAGTAGTGTAGAACATATGTCACATCTATTTCTAAGTCATAACTTCATTTCAGACTACATAATCATCAATGAAAGCACTTGGCATATTATAAGTCAGACCCCATTTAAGAATGCAAATGCACATATTCCAATAAAAACCATTGTTGCTTTTTAGTACTGAGTTAAGGAAAAGGACATTAATATGAGCAAATTTCTCTTGGAATAATAAACTGCCCAAAAATTAAGAAATAAAACCTATTATAATCTAGTGTTAAATCAAAGACAAGCTAATAACCAAATATGGAGGGCCTAGCCTAATATCAGCATAAGGTGAATACTTCAAAATTAGCAGTGTTTGTTGTCATCTGTATCTGTTGACAGTTATACCACATCTCCAAGAGAGCAAATGAAGTGGAAAGCTAGCAAAAATTCTTTCCTACTGATTCCTAATTAGACTGATAACTCAACTAATAATTACAACAAACATATTGAAGACATGGCCCAAAACACTAAGATAAGAATAAGATGGCACTCAAAATTCTCTTCCTCTAAAAACTTTAGGGTTATCATTTCCTTATGAATTTAACAGTTTTAAAAACTCTATATTTAAATATAGAAAATGTCAAAACAGAGCTATTTCATATCTAATGATATATCCAGCTAAGAATTAGTATCAACAGAACATTTAATTTTAAAAAGGTTTTAAATTCTTAGGGTACCTGAAACTATTTTGTAGAAATTGTTGAATTTTGTGGAATAACTTTATTGTCTAAAGTCCTGGTTTTACCTCATTAAAAAATTGATTGTCTAACCTCTAGAAGACAGATTTATGCCTTTACTTACAGAAAATGTTAATTAAACCCAAATTAGTTAATGAAACCATCAGTGAGTAAAATGACTAATTATAAAAGATAAACCACAGGAAAATTAGCTCTTATTATGGATCTTTTTCTTCAAAATTTGTAGGGGTTATTCATGAACCATTTCATATTCCCCCTTATCTTCTCTTCTGTGTTGAGATCTGGAGCACAAGGAGCACATAATATCTTGCTTCATTTCAATCTTCCTTTGCCTTCATTTAGTTCAACTTCCCCTTAAAGAATATGTGATCTGTCATCTGAGAGAATGAGCTAAGCCTGAGTGTCTTCCACAACACCTGGCTGACTATCTGGTCTATACTACTGTAGCAGTCAGGTTTCTCCAAAGGAACAAAGCCATAAGGTATGTATAGTGTATGAGATTTATTATGAGAATTGGCCAACACTACTGTGGAAGTGAGGAAGTCCAAAAAGTTGGGGAATTAGAAGAGCAGGTGGCATGATTCAGCCCACAGCCACAGCCTACAGACAAAGGAACTAGAAATTTGAATGGCCAAAGACAGAAGAAGATGAATGTCCCAGCTAAATGGAGAACCAGAAAGCAGGTTTCCTACCTCTGTGGGTAGAATTTTGTGTTCTGTCTGGACAAAAATGGATTGGATATTGGTGGGAATGTGTCTTTATTCACTTTTACACTAATCTCTTCCTGAAGAGACTTACAGAGCATCCATAAATGTTTTACTAAGCATTCTAACTATCTGTCAAGATAAAGCTAAAATTAAACATCAGAAATAGGTACTTGATCAGCATTTGTTGCTTTAATTTTCTTCAGTTTCCGATGCAGAGTAGTGATTGGGGGGGGTGGCTACCCTTCCCAAATAAGGGTACTCTATGTCATTTCCTGTGTGCACTCATTGCTCCAGTTGAGCGCGATGCTCAATGAATATCGGCATGGGAAGACGCTGAAACTGGAAAACTAGATACTTAACAGACAGGCACAGATTTTGGAATTAATCCACCCTGGATTTATGCCATGAATCTGTCATTTAATAGTAATGGGATCTTTATCTCACTACTCTACTTGTCTCATCTTTAACACAGTTATAATTTCTGCTTCCTAACATTAACAAAGAAGCAAACAGCACAAAGATTGTGAACAGTAGTACATAATGATTTTTAAAACATAATACTTTTTTATTTACTTGCTGACACTACTTTAAACAATGTAGATATAAAAAGACTAGTATGAATAAACTTTATTTTTTTATTCTGTCTCTTGCTCAAAAATTAATTAAATTTCAACCAGTGAAAATATCTTTATTGCTGCATTTGAAACTGTGTATGTAAGGAGACAGCTGTATTAATGTCTTCACTGTCTTAGAATGGCATCAATTTATGATATTTTCTTTATGTATTATACAGAAATTGAAAACTTGTGCAAAGCATCTTGCATGAATAAAGTCAGGAGCTAGAAGCCTTTGTAGTATACTGCCTAATTTTCTATTTATAGGAAATGAAGATTGTAGTATTAATGTTATACAAATGTTTAATAAAAACGTGATCACTAAATGGCAACCTATGACTAAACGAAATCTAGGTTTACATTTGCTTATTTATTTTACCTCAACTTAATCACCATACCATGTTGCTTGATCCTAGCTGTTGCATTGTTCAGTGTGCCCTTACCTTTTGTGCTCTGCCTACAGCCCTGCAAATGAGAAGCTCATCTACATGCAACCAATCTCAGTCTGATTTGAGTTGAATTAAGATTGACAAACAGTTCTTGTATCCTGACACTTGGGATGTGCCACCCCTTTTGCTTTCTCTCATGAAGTAAGAGGACAAATGAAGTTTTGCTGCTACAAGAGAACCAAAGGGAAGCAAACATCTGATGGAGTATGCATGGGAAAGGTAAGTCTTAAAAGTACAGGGCCTTTCACTCTGAGTCTTGAAGGCCAGCTTCTGTCCTTGCCTTTGGATTCATCTAGACAGCTCCTTGTGTCATTGTAATAAACTATTCTCTTTAAAAATTTTTCTGTAGATTATATATTCATTGAATTCTAGCAGAAAACTGTTTTGTTTTCTTTTACAAAGAATACATTCCTCACAGGCCATTATGGGGTTAGGGAGAAACCTGGTGCCAGGAAAACTCACAGGAACCCACAAGGATGACCACAGCTAAGATTCCTAGCAATAGTGGATAATGTACCTGAACTGGCCTTCCCCTCAGCTTGTGAGAGCTCACAGGCTCTGGACAGACAGCTAAGGAACTGGCATGGGACCAACCTAGGCCCTATACATCAGGGTGACAGCCGTGTAGCTTAGTCTTTGGTGGGGCCCCTAACACTGGAACCTATCCCTGATACACGAGCTGCCTCTTTGGAAACTATTCCCTACAGTGGTATGGATACCTTGTTTGGGCATGATACAGGAGAAAGGAGCTTGTTCCTGCCTCAACTTGATATGCCATTTTTGTCGACTCCCACTGGAGGCCTTAACCCATCTGAATGGAGATGGAGGAAGAATGGATGGAGGAGTGTTATATAAGAGGGGAGAGGGGAAGAGGAAATGAGAGGAGAGTAGGGTGGGGAAATGGTGGTTGGTATGCAAAATAAATAAAAATGATGACTAAAATTACATCCCTCACTTCTTTTACTTTAGATTTGATCAGGTTATATGCTTTGGTCGCTTGGATCTGAGCAATTTTGACAATCCTCTTACCAAAAATTAAGTTTTCCATCTATGATATGGCAGACTTCCTGGGGAGACATAACACATGTGTGTATTCACCACAGAAAAGGAGCCCACAATGACCAAACTTGATGAATCCATGAATTGTTATTGAGGTTATTAACAGGAGTATGGATGTGGGTTACTTGTGAGGAACAGGGATAACTCAAATGCAACTGTGTTGCCAGAAAGCCCACCCTACATGAGTGACAAGTCTTGGCAAATGCACCCCTGGATCTTTCTTAGAGGCTTGTAGGCAGCTTCACACTCCAATTAACATTCTGAAGTGTGACTGCCCAGAGCCTCCACTCCTAGCAACTTTCTATTCTGCTTGGTAGAGTCCCTCAAGTATCTTCCAAGTTCCCGTCACCTGGGAGTGGGACCTTTTGTTTACTTCCTGAACTCACTAGACTCTCCTTCCTCCCTGGAGCAGGGGTTTCAATATGTGGAAAATGTTGCAATTAATCTATCAGAAAATGCCATAAACAGCATTTAATTAGGGAATTTGAGTTAAACTGTCTTATTTCTGCCCTTCTTGGAAGAGTAGACTGGGATCCATTATGAGTAGGCACTTGGAATCTGGGCCCTAAGAAACCCATGTAGCCTTCTTATTTTAGGAGTAAAACAGAATGTCTGTTACTTTAAGCTACTAGTCACATAAATAAATAATTGTAGAGAACAGATGAAGAGTAGGATAAGGGCAAATATCAAGCCCCAAAATAGGTCAAACAGGTTTACATTATATGCAAGGAATGAAGAGATTCCCTATACTAAAGGATAAATTTAAGTTACAAAAAGTGTGGTAAGAGAAATGTAATCATAGGAGAAAAATTTTTCAATAAGCAATAACATAAAGACTGTGCATCAGTTGCAGACTATAAATAAGCTTCTTTACTGTTTGATGGCAAAATGTATCATATGTTTTTAAACAGACTGTGGATGGTAACTCACACTCTCTCAAATAATTTGATATTATATTTAGTAATTAATTGAGGCAAGCATCAGTTTGCATTGATGCACCTCCAATTTCCCAAATTATATTATTTTTAAAATAACCTTTGTACTATA